GCTCTCCCGCTCCTGTTCCCGGCGCCCGCTGCCTGTGGCTCTGCCTCTCCTCTCTCCCTGCCGCACTCCGGGGACAGAGAGCTCGGAGCCTTGCCCCGGCCACCGGGCGGGCGCTCTGCTCTCACCGGGCCGCAGCCTCTGGCGTCCGTCCGAGACAAGAGCGTATCTTCCTCTGAGGTCTTGCCAGCGGGCTCTACGCGAGGCACGGGTCCAGCACACAGATAGCTCCTGCGAAGCAGGCGTATCTCCAATCTGAGGGGTTTTAAATAGCAGCAGGGAGACGGTCAGTGACTCAGAGGCGAACTGTCCCCTTCAAACATCTGCCGGTCGCCGGGAAGGACGGCGGAAAGCCAGCCGGCTCAGCGCCTGGGGAGAGAATAAAAGCAGGTCAGGGCGCCCGGCCTGCATCCCTGCAGCCTCGCCTCCTCACACCGGGAGCCCTTTGCGTTGTCTGCCCTGGTGATGTCGGAAGGTTTTTAATTTTACTAAGTTGGTCTCGTGTTTCTAAAGGCCTCCAGTTCCCAAACTTGACTCTTTCTAGTCTGACTTCCGCCTCTTCCGCGATTAGAGGTGCGAAAGGTCTGTGTTTAATACCAACCTCCTCATTGAAAACACTTTAGCAGAGCAAGGTCCTCGATGCCAGCTGTTATTTTTAACTGTTATTAACTTCAGAACTCAAAAAAGAGTAACCAATTAGGGAGGTCTGAGGAGACGTCACCACAGCCTCAACCCATCAATCATGTATGGGCCTCAGTGGTTTCACCAGCTGCCCACGATGGGGTCCTGTTTCTGCTACTGCGAGTCGAAAGGCTCTGCCGACATTGTTCCTACGTTTGTTCCTCATCAGTGGCCTTGGGCAGCCATCCCCTTCCGCCTGTCCCTCCCCCCAACCAAGAAGGAGGCTGTGAATGGGTAAGACACTGGACAGATGCTAGTGAGGAAATGCAGAGAGTGTAGCCCACGGAGTCAATGCACTTTCTACAATGCCGTTCTGTTATCAGATCTACATGAATTCCTTAGTGATCACACTTCCTGCCAATGCTTGAGAAGCTAAACTCCCCCTGTCGGCCTTCTGCAGAAACCCACACCATAGTCCTTACGATCCATATGAATCGGTGGGTGAGCAGTGAATCCGCCCAAGGGGTCAGTCTCTTTAAGCAGTGATTCCCAACCTTTGTTGCTTTAAATCTTTATATTGAAAGATGGGTAACCTTCCATATTTAAATGCATAAAATAAAATACTTTGAGTGGCAAAGAAATTCGACACCAATGAAGTGACCCCTACACCCGGGCACCACTCGGAAGGAAAGGGTCCCCAGCTGCGGGGAGATGCATTTACACCAAACCGGCCCATCTCCCGCGGAGATCTGGCCGTCCATCTGGCTCCAACACGAATCCAGGATCACCTGGGTCCAGCCCTTCGCTCCAACAGCTGGAACAAAGCAAGGAGGACGCAGGAGGATTCCCCGCTGCCTGTCTTTCCCTTTCCCTTCAGCAAGGCCCATGCCGGGAGCCACGCCTTTGTCTGGGATTGACAGGGATGCAGGCCGAAGGGGTGGGGGTGGGGTGCCCCCTAAGCCAGCACCTCCTTCAATCCCTGCATTTCCGTTTTGTCCGTGTGCAGCCCTGCCGGGCCCAGTGGAACAGGGGCATCCGGACAAGCACAGTGCGGCCACGGGGTTTAGTCCATCAGCCCAACAGCCTGACTTTATCAGCCTGCTCTCTGCCCAGCACGTGGCAGTGAGGACCCACAATAAACAAGACCCAGTGTCCGCATTCAGGAAGTTCACATTCCACGCCCTGTGAGCCAGGAGGTCACGGTTCCATTCCCGGTCAGGGCACAGGCCCGGGTTGTGGACTCGATCCCCAAATGTGGGGCGTGCAGGAGGGAGCCGATTGATGACGCCCTCTCATCGCTGATGTTTCTCTCTCCCTCTCCCTTCCTCTCTGAAATCAATAAAAATATATATTAAAAAAAAAGTTCACATTGCAGCCAGAAAACAAGGGGGCTCCTGGGGAAGGGTGTGCAGGGCCATTTTGCCAGTCACATGCTTGCTTGCTTTCCTCCACCTAAGAGCAAAGTGCTCTTGCCTTTGGCTTTTAGACCTGACAGAGCTGGGGGCGAGGGGGGATGGTGGAGGGAGTACCAGAAATGAGAGACTGAGGGGAGAAAGGATGGGAAAGCCAATGATCTACCTGCAGGCTGCAGCGC